AAAATCAAGAGATATTTAACAGGTAAACCACGAGGTTAAGCACTGTCGCTGGCGGCCCGTGGGTGCAGGAGGGGGCCTGGGATCGATTGGCATCCCAAACTGGGTATATCCCGCCCCCTCTTGCTTGTGTAGGGATACAGGGAGTCACAGCGCAGTCCAGTGAAGGTTTGGTAGGAGTTAAATTGTGATGAAAATGGCCACTTCATGAGACAGTGGGAGAAGAGTCACAGAAGGAATACTTCTCCCAGTGTCCTGAATCCCTGTAGTGTTCCATGGAGTATACTTTTATAGTTTTATAGTCCGTGTCCAGCTATGGTCACTGTGTTATTGCCATGAAGGGGTGTTTATGAGCGACCATTACCGTCGTATTGGAACCATAGAAAACAGTTATAGCCAGCAGCTATATTGCAACTTCACCCTGCAGCTCAGCACTGGCAGCCCCACTGGAGCTCAGCAGTGTGAGTCTGGCCAGTACCTGGAGGGGAGACTCCTGGGAGAGCTGAGGCTGCTGCTGGAAGAGATGTTAGTGGGACCAGTAGGGGGCGCTCACCCTTCAGTCCATGTGGGTCCTAATGCCCCAGTATAGTGACGGGGACACTAGACTGTAAAAGGGCGTCGTCCTTCGGATGAGACGTAAAACCGACGTCCTGACTCTCTGTGGTCATTAAAAATCCCAGGGCGTCTCTCGAAAAGAGTAGGGGTGTCACCCCGGCGTCCTGGCCAAATTTCCCCCCTAGTCTTTACCCATCATGGCCTCCTAATAACCCCCCTCTCTGAACTGGCTCCATCACTCTGCTCTCCTCCCCACTGAGAGCTGCTCTGTGTGAGCAGACTGGAGCTTCATCCAGGTGGGGGGACACACTGGTGGGGGTGGAGGGGATCCCCCTGACCTGTGAAGAGCCCTGAGTGGAGAGTCCAGAAGAACGCCATGAATTCTTATCACCTCCACTGGCCCAGAGGCTGTCCCTGAGATCCCACCAATCCCACCTTTCAGTTCCTCCTGAGGTGTCCCGTACAGCAGTGCAGCAGTCCAACAGTATGAGGTGTCTGTTTAAAGTTAAGACCAGGGGATAAGACCTGGATCCCCGTGGTCCAGGTGGTGTCTGACCAGGCCAGGTCAGGAGGAACGATCCCAGGCCGCAGGCAGATTTCGACACTCGTCCGGCTTCGGCCACGGCTCTGTGCTGGACCAGGCGGCCGGTCAGCGGAGAAGTCACCCCTGCTCTCCCCCTCTCGCCGTCTCTCTCAGGGTCTGGGTGCTGGTCATCGTGTCGGTCAGTATCGCCTGGATCCCCGTGGTCCAGGCGGCCCAGAGCGGCCAGCTCTTCGACTACATCCAGTCCATCACCAGCTACCTGGCGCCGCCCATCGCCGCCGTCTTCTTCCTGGCCGTCTTCGTCAAGAGGGTCAACGAGCCGGTGAGCGGGGGCAGCGGAGCGCGCTCGGGCCTGGTGATGTCATCGCCCCCCCCCCACCCCGCGCGTAGCAGGGACCTCAGCCGCCCGGGCTGGGGGAGGTCTCCTTGAGCTCGGGCAGCTGGCTCCCTGTGGCGTGACGCGGGAGACCGCGGGTTCGCGCCCCAGGTGTGGCGGGACGAACCGGCGGGGTGGGGCGGGGGAAGGGCACGAGACCCGCGCGGAGCCGCGACGGTCACAGGGGGATGCTGGGAGAAGAGGCTAGGACACAGCGGGGGGCCGAGATCGCAGCGCAGCCAACGCCTCAGGGGTCAAAGAGGAGCCACAGCGCTCACTCTGTATCTCAGGGGTAGAAAGATCGCCTGCGTTTCGAACCACAGGGAAAGGAAAATGTACACAGGAAGTGGGAAAACCTGAAACTTCCATCACAAAAGAGAAGACATGTCCAGGTATAATAATAATAATCAACTTTATTTTATATAGCGCCTTTAAAGATGGCTTCTCAAAGCACTTTACAGGATGGCAATAACAATAAATAAGAAGAATACACAAGATAAAAACACAATTACAATATACAGAGGAGAACAGGGATGGTGGTACTAGGAAAAGCAGAGGGGTGAAGAATGGAACAGTTCAGTAGAGGCTTTTCTAAAGAAGAGGGTTCTGAGTCTGGATTTGAAGGCGTTTAGAGAAGGTGACTCTCTGATATCCTTGGGGAGAGAGTTCCAGAGCTTGGGGGCATAACAGGAGAACGCCCTGTCACCCCTACAATGTAGACGGGCTTGGGGGACAGTAAGGAGAGCAGAATTTGAAGAGCGGAGGTTGCGAGGTGGGGAGTAGGGCGATAGTTCAGACAGGTACTGAGGTGCCAAGCCATGCAGAGCCTTATAGGTGAGCAGGAGGATTTTAAAGTCCACACGGAATTTGACCGGAAGCCAGTGCAAGGACTCCAGGACAGGAGTGATGTGATCACTTGCACTAGACCTAGTATGCAGATGGTATGCAGATGTCCTGCGATTCAAAACAAAGCAACGAGACTTCCTGTTGAGGGGAAGCAGCCCTCGGACACTGTAAACAAGCAGGCCTGTGAATCCAGCTCCTTTAATCCAACAGAAATACCACTCGCGATTCTGAGTCGGTAAAATAATAGCGTGGATAAATGGCGGATAAATGGAACTTGCTTGTTAACTCTGCCTGCAGATCACGCTGGGACATTACTGCAGTGAGATATCTGCCGCACAGCCGGTACTTACTCGCTCATAAATCACAGTTCGTGAGTCAGGACAAGGACTAGTGAGCAGGAAGGGCTGCTTCACGTCGCAGTTCCCCCCAAATTCGTGACTAGAATGGCAACTTACGCCACTTTCACAAAGTTCACGGTTGTGTGCTGCATTTGACACTTGGAAGTTTTTTTCTATGACATCAATGAATGTATTTTGGACCCGAGGTTAAAGAACCGAGAAACTGGGACGGCAGTGTGCCCTGTTAATGAGAAGACTATGGTGGTGTTAACCCCTGCCTTCGTTTCTCTATCCCCCACCCCAGGGTGCCTTCTGGGGCCTGCTGGGGGGTCTGGGCATGGGCCTGTGCCGCATGGTGCCGGAGTTTGTGTTCGGGACGGGCAGCTGCCTCTTCCCCTCACACTGCCCCCCGGTGGTGTGCGGGGTGCACTACCTCTACTTCGCCGTGCTACTGTTCTTCGCTACCGCTACCCTGGTGCTCACTATCAGTTACTGCACACAGGCCATTCCTGACAAACATGTGAGTCCAGACTGACGCCCTCTCTCTC